GATCACCACCATCACTACTGGCGGAATGTCTGGTACAAATGCTACCAAGCATTCCGCCAGTAGTGATCGTAGTGATCGTAGTGACTACGAGAACGTCACCACTTCCGAAGGTTTCACAACTACGTCGTCAACTGAAAATGACGCCAGCTTCCTGACATCAACTCGCGAGTCAACGGCGAACGTCGCAAATTCGACGTTAAAAGCAACTTCGCCGTCTAGCTCAAGCAAATTGGCGTCATTCAAGCTGAGTGAGTTTTTCAGTATTTATCAATATTCATCAATACTTTAACGTGTGTACTTTTTTCGTAAAGCATAATCGAAAAAGACCGCGCACATTTCAGGTGTAAGAAAATCCCAACCTCGTCAGGTGTAGGAAAATCCCAACCTCGTCAGGTGTAGAAAAATCCCAACCTCGTCAGGTGTAGAAAAATCCCAATCGAATGCGTGTACTCACCAAAAAATGTAATCAACATAATGAGCACATTTTAGGCCATTTTATTTTGTGTCATTCTAAAAAGTACACGACAACTATAAAGTATCGATGAGTGTGTATCACAACAGATCACAATATATCTACTTAATCGATCATTATTTCAGTGAAACCCAACAAAGGCCGACTTCTATCGCAGATTTTGGCGTTCCAAAACGACGACGACGACGAGACCAGCTGAGAGGGGTGGGACGTGGCTGTGGGCATCGCGGTCGGGCTGAGGCGGTGGACGACGACGGCTGCTGCTGCTGCGTGGTTGTTTTGTGCTGTGATACGGAATCAATTCGATTTCGTATCACAGCACAAAACAACGACGCAGTATTGTATTGTTCATATGGGAATATTTTTTGTGTGATCTGATCGATCTGATCGATTTGATTGATGTGTACGTTTCGAGTAATAAAACTGATTGAAAATATTGCAAATGTTATCGCACCGAAAAAGTAAACCGAAATATTACTGCTAAATAATAGTAGTAATAGTAAAGGATCAGATCAATGAGGAGAGCGTTGAAGACGGCATCACATCAGAGAGAGTATTGGGAGAAGTAGACAGAGAGAGAGTAAACGGGTTGTAGAGAAGTAAACGCGAGGTTCGCAGAACGCTTGGCGTCGGTAGTGCCGATGACTACGGTATTCAAACGATCGTAGTGGGACCAGGTCTTACAATAGCAGCTTCAAATTTTTTTGAATTTTTAAATTGATCTGGGTCTCGAAACGATTTTCTGAATATTGTAGTTGGCAAAGTGCCAAGTGCTTTTGAATAAATTTGAATTGAGCTGGGTCTCGAAACGATTGCCTGAATACTGTAGTTGGCAAAGTGCCAA